TTTGGTTCTGATTCAGTTGTCCTTTTGAGTTTACACTCACATTTTTATTCATGTCATTCTATGTTTTCTTGGTAACTGTTTCTTGTTGCAGTGTTGTGTTGTTTTTGTGTTGCCCCCTTCTGTGAGTCTCCTTTCCCTTAGCTTCAATTTGCTTCTATCCACAGCTGCTCCCTATCAGCTGATTACTCGTCTTTGTTCTGTCTCCAATGTGCTTCCTGTGTAGTTCCTATGTGACTGTTTCTCTTCATTTCTTTGATCCTCATATGTGTTTCCCCCCTGACAACTGATTGGCTTTGATTATTGTTTATTTTTCCTGGATTTGTGTTTCTTTCTGTTGCCATTTAAATCTATTAAATCTGCAAGAATTCATCTCTGCCTCCTCATCTCTGCATTTGGGTTCTCAATCAGCTATAAATATAATTTTTTTGTTCTTCAATCATTATAAACAAATGTGTCCTTCTCTAATGTATCATAAAATCTTAGCTTGGCTCTGTATTTTGACATTGAAGGATGGTGAGAACGTACATTGACAGTGACGTGCGGAGAAGTAGGGGTGAATGTGGAACATTTCTCCTTGCTTAACATGACTGCACAAGAACTCCGCACGACATATGTGGGTGGAGGGGTGACGGAGGATGTGAAATCAGGGGGTTATTAGCAGAGGTGTCAAGTAATGAAGTACAAATACTTTGTTACTGTACTTAAGTGCACTTTTTAGGTATCTATACTTTACCCCATTACTTATTTTCGTCCTACTTCTGACTTTTACTCATTACATTTTCACAAAAGTATCTGTACTTTCTATTCCTTACATTTTTAAAACAAACATTATTCATTACTCTTGACTTTGGTTTTTATGTTTATAAATATTTATTTTACGTCATGTGCGCCATCTGATGCAGATCATTGGCGCCATCCACATCAAGTAAAAACTAGTGTAATTGGATGAGTCATATAACGCAAACACTCATTGGTTAGCCAAAGGAAATCATCAGAAGCAAGCAGGTGTTGTTCAAACTGCAAATGCTAATTGTAACATAAGCAACCATTTGGCCATGGCAGCTGTACATTAATAGGAACAAATGATGTATATTAAATTTAAGCCTTCCAAAAAGTTAAGTACATAGAGTAAATCAAAGGACAGAATCCTACTGGGTAAGTATTTTACAGCAATAGGTTACTTCGCAAAACTATGATGAAAAAAAGGATGATGTGGAAATATTTAATTAACAGCAAGGAAGTTCAACATTGACCGATTTTGTTTGTTTTGAAACAAGCGGGCTTTTACCACTTCGGCTTTGCTCCCCTCTGCTGATTGGGTGATCAGCTTCACCTGCTTCAACCACCTCTACCTGTTAGTTACTTACAAGCATCTTCACCTGGGTGCACAAATGCCTGCTTCCAACAGCCACTAAGCAGAAGGTTGTTCCATTGTCCAGATGAGTCAATTCCAGTGATGTGCACACTGTCTGTCTTCCTGTGTTGCTGAGGTCACCTTGACCTCACTAGGTTCTCAGTAGCTTCTGTTTCTGGCCACAGCCTTTTTAGTCTTCATTTACCTTATCATACATGTTGCCAGCCTATTCATCCACCATCCACCTTCTCAATCCTGCTACCAGCCATTTTAGATATCTGTCTCCGT